TATTTCCTACAGTTTCTAATATGCTAGCAATATCTCCAAGGTCTCCTTCCTTCCAATGCCAACACTTAGGATTTTAAGTTACTGTATTCATAATCGAAATCAATATTCTTTTCATATAAGTGCACAGCTAGGGTAACCACACACTTATTCCACTGAAACTTTCAATATCTAAACTATTTATGAATGTTACCATAGGGACCAATATTCATAACTTGCTTCAAGAACCACACAAATTTAACATATAATTATATACATTTCAGTTTTTGTTTAGAGTTTTATAGTAGAAGCCACTCATTTTTAAAGATGAGCACTGAGATGCTTAGATTGAATCAGATGTGTTTACATAAACAGAGCTTGTGCAATAATGTCAGAAATGTAAACTGAACATGAAAAACGATTAATTTATGATTAACTCAGGAGTGTCTGAATCAAGATAAAAGTCCGAGATTTATTTATATCCTTTATGATGTGTAAAAATAATACCTTACATAGAGGGCATCTGGTAAGGTTTCAGTATTGTGTTTTGGCCTGATGAACAGCCTCCAACAGAAGCTTATCCGGCAGGATTAGAGTTAAAGGGTATCCATACTCTCAATGGGGAAATGGAGAGAGAAGGTTGTCCTGTCTCTGCAGCAGGTTTTTTTTTTTTTTTTTTTCCATGAGGGTGCCAGGGAGGAAGCAGCAGGAATAAATGGCTCAACATGGCCAGTAGTGATGAAAATTGCCACTTAATCTAAGCAGTCTTTATTTATTCTTTGGTAGCAAAGCCAGAAATCTGTGTTTGATTGCAAAAGGATATGATTTCCTGCTCTGAAAAGATTTTATTCCTATTCAGTCACTGCTACCTGCAATATGTTTAGCAGCTATGTAAGCATGCCACGTTGATGTTAAAAAGAAGGCTTAAAAGAAATAACCATGACTTAAATTCCCACCATGCTGCACATGAGTGGTACAGTATGAGCATTTCTACTGGGAGCACTTGGAGGAGTTTGGGGAAGGAAGAGGGAAGAAGGCATGAAGGAGAGAAATAGCTCAATAGGAAGAGAATGTGGAAAAACCAGACAGAGGTTAAAACAGAATTGTGCGTCACTTAACAATTTTGCTCTTAAACCTTGGTTTAAAAAATCACTTTCTTCCAGAAAGAAATCCTAAAAAAAAAAATAAGAAAATAACTATAATGGTGGTTCTATTCTTCTCTACAAAGTCTGATCTGATGGTCCAGCCTGAGAAAATTTCCTTGATCTGGAAACTAGTTACATAAAAATCACATGGGGGAAGGCTATTGGGAAGTGATTATGGACTTTTTCTCCTCTAAAGACAGGCTACCAAAATGTTGTACAATAGCACAATCAGTTCACTATTGCGGGCTGTATGAGATATGTCTCAGTGGCCCACTGTAATTATTATTCCGTCCAGAGAAGAACTATATTGTTTAGTAAACAAGGGACTCACAGTCCATTTAACAAATGTATTGTGTCAGTTTTTCTTTCTTCTTCTACTTCTTTTTTTATTTTTAATCACTGTAACAAATACCTGACACAAATCAACTTAGAAAGGGAAAAGGTTTGTTTTATCTCACCGTTGTGGAGATTTTAGACCATGATCTGTTGGGCCTGTTTTTTAGACTGTGGTGAGGTGACACATCAAGGCAGAAATATGACAGCAAAACTGTTCACCTCATAATTAGAAACTGACAGAGAGAAACAGAAGGAGGAAAGAGATGGGGGTCCTTCTATCCCTTTCAAGGGAATACCCCCAATAACCTAAAGATCTCTATCATCACCAGGCCCCACCTATTAAAGCTTCTAGCACCTTTCAATAACTCCAAAATGGGGACCAAGCCATGAACCATGGGCCTTTGAGGGATATTCCAGATACAAATTGTAGGAGACATGAAGAAGTTACAAGGCAAAAGAAATTTGTGGTTTGATCCTATTTTGTGATCTTTTGTGGTATTTAGGAGTCACTAGTAAATTTTCTTTCAGTGACAAAGTTAAGATTTTTCTCTTTTACATGGAAACAAAGGAGCTCTGGTTTTTCTCTGCAGAGCTGAGAATCCATGGATGGTAATGATGATGACACCAACTTATTCAACATTGCCCTTTGGCTATTTCCTTTAGAGAAGTCAGGGTGCTTCATCCTATTCTTCTAGCCTCTGGCAAAGAAAATACTCATCCAAGCCAGTGCAATTATCAATCAATGGTGCCCAGGAAATGTTAGTGGATGATGACTAAGATAATGATGGCAGTGGTGCTGGTGGTAAGGACTAATCTTCATTCAAAACAAATATATATGTGTGTGGAGGGGAGAGTGAATATATGTTAAATTATATTGATCAAGGATCTTCTTTAAAAATGATGCTACAATTCACACTCTTAACAAAAGCTTTCAGTTTCTTATTTTCTATGTACAAATTCTAGAACAAGATTGTATCACCAATGCGTATACTTAGTTTTAATTGGCAGTAATTTAAGAGTTGTACAATAAAAGCCTTTAGCAGAAGGAATGGGAAAATTTATGAGTCTGTCAATCTTGGTGAACAAAATAATTTTTTTCCATATGGCATGGATTGAAAAAAATAAGCTGAAATAGTTAGATTTTAAACTTTGTATCCAGACCGTATATCTCTTCTCAAACACTAGGAGTCTTTAAAATTTAGCATGTGTGAGGCTTACTCTTGAATACTCCCCATCACAGTTTTCCCTCTCCAGGCCACAGATAAAATAGACAACTTTCATGTGTGGTTGCAAAATTTCATTTATTGGATGCAGTAGTGCAGGTAAGAAAAAAAAAAAATCTCTTCCAAAGTTGTCTGGGAAATAATTCTCAAACTTGGAGAAAGTGGAATCTGAAATTGTATAGTGGGGTGAGTTTGGGCCTAATGTGTAAAACAAGGGTGGTACCCAGAATTATCTTGCCCAGGAAAAGACTCCCAGATAAATTTAGTGAAAAATAAGCTTAATATCTATTCAAGTATATCTTAAAATATTATTATGCCTTTTAGGAAAAGAAAATGTTGTGGATTATACTTAGTGAGTAAAAGATCAAGACTAATTTTCTTCTCCTTCCAGTCAGCCTGCATAATAATTAGAGCTAACACTAATTCATTTATCCATTCAACAGTTTTTAAAATTATTTTAAATTTAATTCAAAGTATTATAATAATAATAATAATAATAATTATTATTATTATTATACAGATGATTGAACCCAGAGGCACTCTATTACTGAGTTACACTCCAGACTTTTCTATATTTATTTTGAGACAGAGTCTTGCTAAATAGCTGAGGCTGAACTTGGACTTGTGATCCTCCTACCTCAGCCTCCTGGATAGCTTAGAGTACAGGTGTGTGCCACCACACCTGGGTAGTAATGATTTAACTATGTATCAGGTCTTGTGATCAGACTTGCTATTTCAAGGAAGCACCAAGTACTATCCTTACCTGGAAGACACTACTAGCCTGAAGGGGAAGAGGTGTGCACATATGGACTTTGGATAGTGGGAAAAGTGAAGTAGTGGCTTGTGAATATTCTGGGGAAGTACAAAGAATAGAAGGTGAGACATAAAGCATCAAGGGTCTCCACGCAGAGGAAACGATAACTAATATGAGGGATGAGTGGGAGTTTATCAAGCAGGGTGGAAAGGCCATTTCAGAAGCATGCCAGCTGTGCAGGCAAGAGTACAATACAGCAGGGATCATCCAGAAACTCACAGGGTCTGGGGCAACCCCAGGGGTATCCTGTTCTTGGAGGCTATGGAGTTGAATATGACATAGTTTGCAGTTCTCAGCTGCATGGAGTGTGAAAACTCTTCTCAAAATCATTTTCACAACTCTGTGGTCTCTTCTAATACATGATACGAGGAAAGGGAGTAGCATGTATCAGAAGAGACCATTTCCGTTTTTAAATTGCTGCAAGAGGAATTACTTCTTCTAACATGTCACTCCCTTTCCTGGTACTATGAGGGTGACAGTGAAAGTGTTTAAGAAACATTCAAATCAAAGCAATGTGTTATGATAATCCCAATGATGAAGATGCTTAAGTACAAAACAAATTAAAAACACGAACGGAGCCTAGGCTTTCTTGGTGGGGTGTGAGAGAGTGTTACAGAACAAAATCTAGTTTACTTTTTGAAATAGGAGTAGGAATTTTCTAGAAAGAAGCATCTCCATGAAGTCTGATGGTGAGCATTTCTGGTGGAGGCAGCAACTGTGCAAAGGCTTAGGAAAAAAAGACAAAATATAAAAATATTGGAACAATATTCAAAGGGTTAAGATATTACGACCGGGAAGACAACTTTTTATCTAATGTGGAAAACAGAAATGAAAAAAAGTGAGTTTTCCAATTGTGTAAATTGTGGTATAGATCATCTATTTTAGTATTATGACTCCTGGGCATAAAAACTTTTAATTAGAATGTCCAGTTATTATTGGAATCTACAGTGATTCTCTGCTTTGTTGAAATATTACAGTAAAAACAATAGAGGAAGCAGCTTTGGAGAATTAAACAGTACTATAAAAATGGGAATAAGACTGAAATTATATACGTTTCTAATTTGAAAATGCAGATCAGAGAGAAAATATCAAAATGATAATATCTTCATGTAAAAAGTGCTATTTATCACTACTCTGCAACCTACTATTATTGGACTATTACCTCGATGATTAAACTTTTCAATTACATGTTGCATTGCATTAGACTTTGTGCAATCATTAATTAGTTCACTCACATAAAACCCAGTGAGCAAGCAGGGGGATTTTATTACCTACTGTTTCACAGATGAGAAAACAAAGGCAACAAGGTTAAGTGGCTCCTGAATTCTTTCTTTTGGGTCTGGGGCCTGCAGGATGGAAGTCTGACCCTGCACTTTGGCTCTGTTGGTTAGGTTTCCTCAGTACTGCTTCCAGATTCACACTCTCCACTAATTGAAAATGGGTACCCTGGTGTTCTTGCAAATTAATGATATTCAGAGGTATGAGATGTATCTGTTTGCAACCTACCTCTGTTTGTTTACTTGTGGGGATTAGCAGCCATCTGCTATGGAAGTAACAGTAATAGGCCCTCCTTCTTTGGAAATACTGACTTCTAAGAAGCTGCAGTCCAGCGTATTAGGATGGAGAGCTGACAAATGAACAGGACCTCAGATTCTTAGGACAGGTGGGGGAGCTGTATATACAGATAGAAGCAAAGTGAATTGTGAATTCTCTGCTTTTGTCACCTGACCCTTTTCTCCCTGTTCTCTCTTTAAATGATGCTTCCTTTTCCCAGTCAGAGTTCTCATTATACTAGTAAAGAGAAAGCTAAAGAGAGAGTGTCGTTTCCTGGTCCTTAGTCCTTCTACCCACAGACTGAGCACACCAGAGTTTGGAGGATAAGCCTGTACCCACAGTTTCCTTTCTGCTCACCAAAGGGTCAACTGTGACATGGGGATGGCATGCAGGAGGATCAGGCCAGAGATCAGAGAGGAGAAAGGAGTGCATGGCTACTGAAAGAATGAACAAGGCTCATTGTTGGAGAAAATGCTCATTTATTGAGGAACAGCTCTGCATATTTATAGAGCCAGGGGTGGTTTGACAGTTATGACAGTTTAATGGTTGAACTGTTTGACAGTTGGCATGGGGTGCTTTCTGATTGGTGGTTAAGGAGCATGTGAGCCAGCAGGCTAGTCTGATTGGTAGGTAAGGATCATGTGAGCCAGCAGGGCTCATCATTGGATGGCTCTTCTCAGGGGAATGGGGAAGTTAGTCTTTGGAGCTGGGGAGACTCCCAACAGGTACAAAGAGCATCACTGATGACTGTATAGGGGAAATCTTCTGCACCTTCTAGGATGATGAATTTGTCACTTGGCTGGTGTCGGAAGTTCCCAAGCCTGCAAGGAGTCCCAGCTAGTCTGGAAAATATAAGGAAGTATGTTTTAAAAGATAATTGAATGGCATGGCTGAGATAGAAGATGTAAAATCCCCAGGTCTCTTGGCTCTAGGACCTGGAATATCTTGTCTATCTGAAACCTGACTCAGGTGAAGCTGCACTTCTCAGGCTTACTCTGCACCAGATGCCAACACTTTATCCTTGTCCTTATGCATTTTTCTCTGCTTTGTGATATTCTTATTCCATCTCAAGTCTATCTTTGTTTTTATGTCTGGGTCTCTCTTTTTAACACTTATTTACTGATAAGTGAAATGCACCTGTCCTGCATCTCCCATCCTCATTCTTGGAACTGCTTTTCTAGCACTCCCTTTTCCATTTGTTGTCAGAAACCAGCACCAGGGAGACCACTGGTCTCCAATCTAGTTGTGTAAAAACTCTCTGTTGCGTTCTTCCCAGGACATTCATAGTTTTTAAAGATGATCTTGATAGTTGCGTTTTTTTAGGGGAGAGACTCAGAATTGTTCATGATTGCTTATGACTTTGGCAGTGGCATGCTGGGTTAGTTTCCATTGGCTTACAGGAATTGAATATGCACACCTTTTCCTATCCATTGTTGTATTAATCAGTGTTCCCCACCCCACCCCCGAAAAAAAGAAAAAAGAAAGAAAGAAAAAAAACCCAAGAGTCTATATATCTAAATCTGCATTTATGCACATTATTATAGGAATGGATTTATTAGATTGGCTTACATGATTATAGGCTGAGTAATCCCCCCTCAGTACTCAATGGTGGTCTGAAGGCTGAAGAACTGAGGGAATGAGTAACAGCTCATTTCAAGAAACAGGAAATCTCAGAACATCAGAAAGCAATGATGTAGCCTCACTCTGAGTTGGAAGACCTGAAGAATCCAGAGTTCAATGTCCATGGATGACAGGCAGAAGCAAGAGCATAGTAGTTCAAGAAGTGTCATGTGCGTGCATGTACAAGCTTCCTACTGCTTTTTTATTTCATCTGGGTCACGAGACTATTAGAAGGTGCAGTCCGCATTTGCTGACCCATATGCCAATTGTCTCTGGAAATACCATTATATACACATATAGAAGTGTGCTTTATCCATTTTCTAGTTCCTCAATCCAATCAAGTTGACAAACACAAGTAACCATCATGCATAACAAGTGACTTTGCCTAGCTAAGTTAAAGCTGATTTTGAAGGAAATATTTACACAATGGGAATTGGCAAACCCCACACATAAAGACTGCTCTTCTTAAAGATCCAATTCACCAGTACACCATTACCTTTAAGTTCAGCTATACAGATGATGGCGTGCTGTGTGGGCAATTAAATGTAGAATTGTTTGGTTCCCCTCATTGTATCTTATAATTCAAATCTACAAAGTATTCAGTATGTTGAACTTTGTAACTCACAATGTCCCTGGCCTGAGTTTTACTGGAGGTAAGTTGCAGAGTGAACATAGCCTAATCTCAATCATATTTCACATTGCTATCATGTTCTGGAGAAGAGAGCTCAGACTTGGATCCAGGAACCCCAGGGATTTGTTTCTGTTGTCTTACTAATCAGCTACATAGCACAAACCAGTTATTTTTATGCTCAACTTTCTTATCTGTTAGATGGAAACAATAACTTGTTCTCCTGTGATGCTTACTAGTCTATCCTCAGAAACAGATGGAGCAACATTTTGTAAATCAAAGTGTGGTAAATGTCCAAGATAAAAAGCAAGAAATTTGGAATGAGAAAAAGATGAACTCAGTTTAAAACCCTGAGCTTCCCCATAATCATCAATTCTTCCCTGTCATCAGTTCTAAGATGCACCTAAAAATAACATTTTTTTTTACTAACAATAACGAGTTTTTAAAGTGCACAAAATAATTAAATGAAATAACCTTTTTAAAACTGTGTAGGACTCAAGAAATCATTGCTAGGGCTGGGGATGTGGCTCAAGAGGTAGCGCGCTTGCCTGGAATGCGTGTGGCCCGGGTTCGAGCCTCAGCACCACATATAACAAAGATGTTGTGTCCACCGAAAATTAAAAAATAAATATTAAAAATTCTCTCTCTCTCTCTCTCTCTCTTAAAAAATACTTTAAAAAAAAAAGAAAAAAAAATCATTGCTATAATTATTAATACTGCTTTGGAAATGGTACACAAACTGGAAGGCATTATCATTATTTCATTTTAACATATGGAACATCTTTAATGATCACTTGCTCTAGGAATTGTGATATAGTAAATATTTAGTAATACTTGAAAAGATTTTTTAAAATACAGGATTATTTTAAGTTCAAGTTCAGGTAATTGATGTACCTAAATACCACATCTCAGAGAAAAAAAAAATACAGTATTTGCTTCGGATAAAACCTTTTTGGCAAAGTGACTGAAAGTTGTCCTTCAAAATTCTAAGGAACCTGAGTTAGTGAAGCAGGCTGGTAATAAATTGCCTTTACAGATATAAGACATTATAGATTTTGTCCTGGGGACTCGAGAGTTATCATAAAAACGGAACATACATTCTAATTTCTTTGGGGATTGTTTGTAAGATTCTTATAAGTATTCCCCTAGGATTTAACCTATTCACATTCAGGCTAAATACAAAGTGTGCTTAGTAGATTCCTCTAAGAAATGCAAATTGAGTCGAGTCACACATTGATATAGTCCCAGTAATGCAGCCCCTTCCCCAGCACCCCCAGCATAAAAACATTTGAGGATTTGATTATTATTCTACTGATATACTACTGGGGAAAAGCCAGCCCCATAAATGGCAAGAAAAATATTTGACCTATCAGGGTCATTTATTCCATTCCTTTAGGTTAATGTCTCACTCCAGAAGAGAAAGGAATCATGAAATCACTACTAGGCTGCTGGTCACAGAGCTCTCACTCTAAGAACTGGGGAGAAATGCTGAGCCTTCCCTTCCAGGAGGGCAAGAGGGGTAGAAGTGTCTCTTGGTGGAAGGAGCATTAGCTGTCAGGCTTCTTAGCAATGTTGGGTAAGACAAGAATTAACAGAGCTAACATATAGGCACTAGTGAGGGGCACAGATTCCCAAATGATATAACTCTGCTGCCCAAATACCAGAGGTTTTAATTATTAACACTCTAGGGTACTTTTATTCCTGTTTTCTAAAATAGCATGTTCTGACAAGACAGGTTAGAGGATAGAAATAAAGAAAGACTTATAGCTAAAAGCATTGCCTTGAGTGATATATACATGTGGCAAAGCTTGGACTTCTAGATGGCTTGTTTGTGCAAGGGGTGGGTACTTCACAAGAGCAGGAAACTGGAGGAGTCTGGCCAATTTTGCTCCACCTTGTAATTTTGCTGGAGCCAAGTCAAGAAACTTGGAGATCTCCTCCTGAAATTTGTGCAAAACGTCTTAAAATTTTGACTCTATCTGGATGATGATGATGATGATGATGATGATGATGATGATTTAGGAAGTGCTTCCAATTGGACCACCTACCAATTTCAACTGAGTGTTTCATCCTCAAACTGAACATATATGGTAACAGTGGTGCTTTTTAAAAGATACCCAGGAAAATATAATTGTTGTTTAAAAAATAGGCAAGACCAGTAGACAGATAAAGATGTATAGATTAATTGCCAAATCTGTACCTCACCTGCATCTTTTATGTGGCAGATATGAATGCTTTATAGGTAACAAGGTCCTCAACAGGAGAGTTATGGTCTAACAGCCTGACATTTGTAAAGCTGTAAAATGTAGGGGGAAGATTTAACAAGCAAGATGAGCTGCTCTCCTGCATATTAACACAATTATGCACCTAATGCACCCACCTAGGCGTAAATAGTATATTTATAGCATTAGGATTCTCCAAAGGATGTTAAGCAGACATTGTAATTTGCATTTTAATTTTCTTAAAAGAACATTTTTTTGCTTGCCTTGAAACTTCCAAGGGCTGTAAGCCTTTAGTTGCTATAGTGGTCTCTACCACTGTGCTGTGTTTTGTAGCAGAAAAAACCTAACAGCATACTCAGGCTCCCACCCCTACTATTAGGGACTGAGGCTGGAAATAAAGAGTGGCTCAACATTCCTAACATGGACATGTTGCTTCACTGGGAGGCCAGAGGTTCTGAAAGGCTAAGAAATGCCAATGCCCACCATCACATTACTGACAATCATTTTGCCTGAAATATTTTGCTTTTTCTGTTCCTTACTAACTTTATTCCTTAAAGTCTTTGGAGGTACCAAACAGTCTGTTAGAAAGCCCCATTCAAAGATACCTGGGATTTGGACTTCAGTAGATCTGAAACTCTGATTTTTATTATTATTATTATTTTAAGAGTAAAATGAAGAAACATCATCAGATCACTGGCAGAAATGAAACTGGTTAGAGATTCAGTAAAAGAGAGAAATGACATTCAGCACTGCTTTCCCTGAAGCCTGTTTCTCTGTGAAGAACCTGCAGGCTCTTTCCTACCCAAAGTATGTCTCGTTGAATTGCAGATGCTTAAATATCTCTTCCTGGTTTTTTTTTTTTTTTTTTTTTAAGACCAAAAGCAAGGTGTCAGCAGGGAAAAATGGTCCCTTGAAGTCTCTAGGGAAGAATTCTTCCTTGTCACTTCCAGTTTCTGCAGGTTCCTGGAGATTCTGAGCACTTCTTTTTCTTGTGATTT